CCACCCTGATGACATGTACCAAATATGGGTGAAATCGGTTCACAACCACGCCTGAAATCTCGATTATCACTTTATCATGCGAGAGTATAAAATGGTCGGTGACACCCGAACTTAGCCCTTCCTTACTTGTTCTAACATTTATTGATTTAAGGTTGATATAATATAAAATTACCTGGCAACCCTGTTAGTAAAAATTTTTTATATGAAGAATTAAATTTTTCTTAAACCTATCTAGTTCAATGCTTTAATTTTTTTTTTTTAAATTAAAGTAATATACATATATTGAATTAAAGTTTATATATAATGACATTAAGTGGCAACCCTTTAAGAAAAAAATGTTATAAAAAATAAAGAATGAAATTTTTCTTAAATTTCCTAGTTCAATGCATTAAATTTTTGAATTAAAGTAATATAAATTAAAAACAGCTGGCAACACCACTCGAAAATATTTTTGAAAGATTTTCTAATCTCCAATCTTCTATTTAAAGTATACCTATTATTTTACAAATTTTTTGACTTAAATACAAATCAAAAAATCTGACATGTGGCAACCTAGGCACGATATACTTTTGTTTCTACAATTTTACAAAATAACCTAGGAAAGGGCAAATCTTTTAAAACCTTACAATGTTGTTGCTTAAACTCGAAGCGAGACGGCATTTCGTTTGTCACACAATTTCGTTGCAATCGATCGATTTTATTGCACTGTGCCGAAACAAGTTTCACTTCAAAACGCAACAATTTACATAAACAAAAGCAAAAAATATGAATATTTAAACCAGAGCAAAAGCAATTGGCAATATTTGAAACAACAAACCAACAACACAACCAGCTTATGTGTACATTACGCATGTAACTTTCCAAAAAAAAAAAAATCTCTAAAACATTTCATACGGTATGCAAATTTTTTATGGCAATAGACAAAATAAAACCGGAAAGTACGGTAGTCTAAAATTAGGCGCGCGAGCGTGCGTGTGCTACAAACTCGGCTACTTATATAATATAATATGTAATATCTATGGGCGTAGGTATATAGGTAAATAAGCCTGTCTGTGCATATGAAATGAGATGGTTGCTGCTGATAAAATTGCAAGAATGTTTCGCAGCATTTCAACATGAAAGCCACATAAATTGTAGCAATTTGCGCACGCACACTACTGCAATGCATTTTTCGCTTTTATTTCTAGTCTCATAATATATTTTGCAAAGCCACATGAATGAGCGCAATTTATATGCAACGGTAATTTAACGGAGGCGTGACGTTAACTGCAAATGCAACCAAATCTATGGAGGGTGGGAAGATGTTGAAGGGATGTGGAGTTGTGAATGTGGAAATCAAAGAAATTTAAGCGTGATTATGAGTAGGGTTATGAATATAAGTATGAGTAAAAATATACGATGTATGTAATAGTGTGAATGCTTTACTCTGAGTGCGAGTAA